TGGGGTAGGGCAGGGGCTTCGTACGGAATGCGTATGCTCCTAGAGTACGGACCGCGCTGTTGCCTGGAGTCGGGGGGGGGGGGACAATGGTCCCTACCGGAGCTGGGGTGCGAACGATGGCTTGTCGACCAGATCTAGCGACCTCCCCCGAAGGAGGGTGCGTTCCGACGCAGAAGGCTCCCCACATTCACTTCTCAAAACGCCTGGGACGCCCTCTCAGTCTTCCCCAACCTGATGCCCTCCAGACGCGTGGGGTTGCAACCCTAGCAATCGAGCCAGCCAGCAGGGACTACGCGCCGTGACAGGGGACGATGGGAACTGCAGTTCAACACAGTGCTGCTTTTTATCTTAGATCTAAGTACATCTTTCGCGCAACTGTTAGAGGATTTCTCCCGGGGGGAGGGGCAGGGAAACAATATATCCTAAGAGCAGAAGAAGGCATGTTGACTGATGATCTTGGGTTACAGATAAACTTTAGATCCAGATTATGTCGGTCCATTCAGCAAGATTGAGTGGGCCCTTTTTTAAGTATAAGAAATTGGAATCTGTTCTGTCTGAATTGTGCTTCCCCTGAAGTTTCACAGCTGAGCTCTAGATCTCAGTTTGTCACTAGGAGGTCTAGTGGCCTTAGTGGTATGGAGTGCCTTTTATCTGCTTTGGGTGCTTCATCTATTCCAGTCTTGGGTCAGACATTTGGCCATGATGATCTGTGTTTGTCAAGGCCTGCCTTGACTGTTGCAGTATTTCTATGTGGCCCTGCATTTGGACACTAGAAGCTTCAATGGGCAGAATAAACTTGTACAACCTTCATCACCCTAGCACCCTGTGGCTGGCTGGTAGTGGAGGGCAAAAAATATTTTGAATTCAAACTGTTTCAATGTGAAAAAATTGATTTGCATTTGAAATTGCCGCTAAAATGAGTTTCAAAGTGTTTGAGCTTAACACAGCTCTTGCTTAGAGTTCAAAACACTTTGTTTTGAGTTGGAAATGCTTCCAGAATGATTAAAACAGCCTGTTTTGCACATAAAAGAAATAGTTGAATCTCCATACGGGGCATTTTGAATTTAAAACAGTGTAGATTGAAATGTTTAGATACCTATGCTGGTTAATAATTCTTGAAGTTGTCCCAACGTATCTGGAGGGTGTAAAGTTTTGTAAGTCTGACGGGATGAAGGGCAGTTTATACATATCTGAATAAAGAGATAATAAATTATTCAACTGTATACATAATACATACACATATAAATATATTTGTGCCCTATAAATTACACATATTGGCACACAACTAGGGTTTATGTGTTTGACTTAGTTTCATTTGCATCTTTTTCATAACTGGGGTAGGAAGAGAACAACACAAAATATTTTCTCACCCTTTGAAATGCTCCTCAGATCCTAGTTTCTTTTAGAAAACCTGCCCAACCACCTGCATTCTGTCAGATGCTGCACTATTTTCAAACCTACGTACAGATTTTTAATGGTTACATTTATATTCCTCTAAAGAGCTCTTGATAGTGACAGAGAATTTTCCCAGGGGTGTGTTTGAACTGAACACTAGGATACATTACGTTGAAGCACATATTTGTTTATTGACAGCCTTGGAGGAAAAGACCTGCCTCTTTATAGATTTATGCAAATTAGAGTATAGATGTAATTGGATACCCAGCAAGATATTTGACTGGATATGAACAAAAGCAAATATTTGATTGGATATAGTGCATCATGTGCCTAGCGAGGCAATCAGGATGTAACTATGAGGTAATGAAGCAGGACTACAAAGACAAGGAGGTTTTGAAAGAACAAAGAGGCAATATTCTATAAGCATAGTTTCTTTCTAGCAATTTCTTTTGGTTTTCCAGGGCTCTGCTTGCCTCCCAGTACTTTTTCCCAGCTTATCAGCATTCCTTGGCCTTCTAGATGTTTTATGGATGAGCTGACAGTTTTAGTTTCCCTGGGAAAGTGTATTGGGTTAGGGGTTTTTAGCTGGAATCCCCCTTCCAAAATTCTCTTTCAATAGCTTCCATAAAGCGCCATCCCATGTTATCCTCCCAACAGTCCTGTGAAGTAGGTTAGGCTGGGAGAGGGTGTCTGGCTCCAGGTCATCCAGTCAGCTGTATAACTCAGCGGTATTTGAATCTGAATCTCTAGAGTCCGAATCAGATATTCATACCCCTAATTATCTATTCAGAACGCTGATGAATCCTGAGCTATTGGTAAATACCAGTATCTGGTGAGTTCCTTCAGCAATACTCACTTTTGTGCAGTTCAGTGGCAGACTTAGAAGGTGCAAAGTGGGATATATTACTTCAACCATAGTGTGGTGACAGTTTCTTTTGGGATACCTGTCTCCCCCTTTATGGCCTGTCTTGCTCCAATATTAAGCCGTCCGGTTTGGGGTTCATGCTCTTTCTGATTCTGCATCCTTCCTGGATTGAAAGACATTCTTCCAAAGTGTTATGCACCAGATTGACTTTCCTTCATTCAAATGCAGCAAAAAGAGCCTCTCCTTTTCCATTGTCGGCTTCTCCTATAATGACAAGCCCATACCTTCACTCCCGGCCCTCTCCTTTGATTTGGGGGAAATCAATACATGCGTTTCACTACAGGAGTGCCTGTGACTGGTTTGTTAACTATGAGGGACCCTGAATGAATAGCACTCGGGTGGGTAATTTACCATCAGATCTGTGGGGATAAAGGGAAACCAATATAAATAGTCAGTAATAAAATTGTTTACTGACACTCGGCGTTCTTTAAAGAAGATTTGTATGCAGAGGAGTCCATCTCTGATAAGCTCTCCAGTTTACAATTATTGACTCTCTTGTCCAGTGGTGCTGGGGCTATTATTAGCATCAGAAAGCTGGGAGTCTCTGTCTTCATAAAGCACCTGATAATATTAATAAGGCAGGCAACTATACCAGAGTTGAAAAGACACTGGAGCACAAGTCAGCATTATTAGTCCTGCTTAAAGAGTAATCGTTGAATGCTGTCAGGGCCAATGTTTTTTTCGAGGGGCAATGCACCAAGATCCATTAGATTTCTATTGATTTTTTATCAAGTGCGAAGAATGCCAGAACTTTGTAGGACTGGGCCTAAAATGCAGACACAGGGTGTTGCAGACATTCTCTGGGTGTGGGTGACCGTCTCATAGTTTCCTTCTATAATACCCGATATCGTAGAATCTGACTAAATTGCATGGATTTATCTCAGATTAATAGGTTGAAAAAAATGTTGCTTTTTCCCCTGTTGTCTTATTTAGCAACATGCTTGTATGAGGGGAGTGTTCAGAAGTTGGTAGGGTGTTCTGGTGTATTTTTGTGGCGAGGACCAAATGCATGAATGCATTACGCTGCTCTGCCTTGGGAACCTTTTCATGTCTGAATGGCTGGTTGCCACTCACCACATCAGAGAAAAAAGTCTATAGTGGTCTTCATTTCACTTGGCATATTTTACACCAAATTTAAGAGATTGAGTCTCTTAAGAGATACTGGCTACTGGCTTGGTTTGTGCAAGACAGTTGCACAAGATGTGATTGACAAGAACAGATTTAATCTTGCAAGCAGTGGAATAATGTAAAGATCTCTTAAACTCCAAAGATGTTGGCGGTAGCTACTTGGAACTATTTTTAAAACATGCATTTTCCAGGGAAATACAGCATTTGAGAAAGCAAGATTTTTCAGGACCTCTTCCCATTCCTTTGTCCCTTTCTGAGTTGCATAATTTCTTTGTCCCTTTTCCTGAAAGATGCATAATTTGGAAAAGTGAACATGTTGGACACCAATACCAGTGAGGGCTGAGGTGTCTTTCAAGGTGCTTACCAGGCTATTGAAAGTTACTAATGAGAACCTAATTAAAATCAGTTGGGAGAAATTGGGGGAACAGAGGCACATGGGAAATAAACTGTTTTCAAAGAATTAAGGGGAAGTGATCAATAAAGGAACAAAAATCAACAATTTTTGAAGATTTTTGAAGTTGTTTTTTCTTTCCTATTGTGGGATGAATTTTCCAAGCTGAGCTTCTCCAGTGTAGAAAGATTAGTCTTTCTAGCTGACACACTAGAAGCATCTTCATATCATTGTCTTTTATGACAAAAAGTGGATACCAGAACTGAATACCTTAGGTTGGGCCTTCCTGTTTCCCAGATATGAATAACACTAAACAAATAAATAATGAAGTGCTGCCATTTGGTTCTTGCTTTTGGATGAAATATTTCTGAACTTCATGGAGATCCCTTTTGATGGAGAAATACACAGGATGATTACTGATCCTCTTTGTCAGACATAAGGACTAGCCTCCTAGCCATAAATGGGACCAGAAAACATCACATGACTGCCCCACTTAGCGATAGCAGTTCTGGCAGTCCGGGTTGCGGTCGTTAAGCTAGACATCACATGACCGCAACTTGCGCCCTCCTGCTGGCTTTTCCATTGACTTTGCTTGTCAGAAACTGGCTGGGAAGGTCACAAATGGCAATCACGTGACTGCAGGACTCTGCAACCATCGTAAATGCGTGATAGTTGCCAAGCACTCAAATTGTGATCACATGAGCATGGGGATGCTGCAACAGTCGTAAGTGCAAAGGCCAGTCATAAGTCACTTTTTTCAGCGCCATCGTAACTTCAAACAGTCACTAAATGAAAGGTCGTTAAGTAAGGACTACCTATAGCGAAAAGGTAAAAGTATTTTTCCTGCATTTCCCTGTATATCCTACATGTATCTAGTATCTTGTTTTAACAAGAGAGTAAATACTCAAGGAAGGCCACCAGAATAGGGAACATAAAACATCTAAGTCAATTGGTCCATGTAATTCAGCTCTAGCTATCCCAGTTGTCCATAAATTGCATTCCTCCAGTTGCTTTCACTACAAGTCCCATTAGAGCCCTGTCAGCATTGCCAGCAGTCGGAAGTGATAGGGATTATTTCAAACATCTGGAGATATCCAGGTTTGGGATGACTGGTCTACATTAACTGGCACAGTTT